CTTTGACTTCTATCACATGCTTGTTAGTTATTAGTAATTTTTCTATAAATTTTGTTTTTTCTTCTTTTGAGCTGCCTAGCACATTATATGCTGGTATTTTCACTATATATATTAGTTTCTTATTGCAATCTCTGTTTACAGATAACTATATGCTTTGTTCTAATAATGCCTCTATAAAGCTGCTTCTCTCTATTTCATGGTTCTATTTCTTTCTTTTTTCTTCTTCTTCTTTTTGACTTTTAATTGCTGCTATTATGTCTTGACAATCTTGCTATATTATATTTGTCTTTAATGTTTTAATTTCTTCTTCTACATATTTGTCTATAGTTGTTTTCATTGTCACCTTTATGTCTTCTGTATTTTTGTGTTTTCTTTATTTTTTCTTCTTTTTTGTTGTTTTTTTTCTTTTTTACTTGTATTCTGTCATAGTTTTTTTTTCTCAATTACTAAATCTATTGCATCTGTTGTTTGTCTTATCTTTTCGATATATAGTACCTTTTTGATATAGTTATTTCTTCTCTTAATATTATTTGATTTTTCTTACTACTCATACTTTCTACTACTATTAGATGTTGGCTTATATAATTTATTTCTTCTGCTTATTTTTCTACACTGATTGGATTTTTCATATCTACTTTAATTATTGCTTCATATATATTTTTTAGCATTATTATTTTCATTAAATCTGTCTTTCATAATGCTGCTGTAACTATATCTTTCACATTAAAGTAGTTATCTCTATTTGCTAGTTTTTGCTTCAATTCTCTACTATCTATAAGTTTTAGTACTGCTTCTGCCTTTTTACTTATCAACTTTAGCATTTTAGACTCTTCTGGTTTTATTTGTATTAACATCTGGCTATGCTTGTATAACTATTTCTAAATGCTTCTATCATATGCATTTTGTAATACTTATATGTTTATCTCACCTATATCTATACATGTTTGTTTGTTTGTTTCCTTATATGCTCATATAGTTCAAAACAATTTGCAATTCCAGATCAATGCTGTTTTCTCCAAATTTTTTTTTTGGTTTTCATTTTGTCAAGCTTGTCTTCTTTCTACTTGCTATGTCTTTTTACTTTCTTTGTTTTTGCATTTACTAGGTCTGTTTTAAGTGTTCTTTCTTTTTGTCTAAGTCTTTGACTGTTGTTTTGACACTGGTTTTTGTATAAAATTCGATTTCTTTTTTGTAAATTTGTATTTTGGTAATCAGCAGAAAGAGTTATGTATAAGTATTATTAAATAAGTTAGAAGTTTGCAATATATAATAGTATAATATTATTAGGGTTAGAAAACATCCAAGATATAACTAAACTTGTTTTGTTTATATATATAACAAGTTTTAATTATCATTATAAAACAAAGCATTTTGTTAAAGTTTAAATACAATATTAAGTTATTATATGATACTAAGATCTAAAACATTTACAAGAATAATGATAGTAGATCTGTTTTAAGATATGAAATAGTTAAAAAGATTAATAGTGACAACAAGTTTTGCTTAAGATCTAGGTTTATTATAGATCCTAACCTATTGTTAAAACATTTAAAAAAAATTAATAATAGATATATTAAAAATTAGTAATTATAAGAATCAAACATATTTAAATAAGACCAATTTGAAAATAATACAGTAACAAAAAGATAAAAATATAAAAAACAAAATATTACTAAATATAATTAAATTAGAAGACAAACAAAACAAAATTAGATAGAAGATAGTGATCTTAGTATAGTGGTGAGTTGTCATTTTTTAAGTAACAGATCTAAAGTTCAAATTCCACTTATAATGAAATTTGAAAATTAATCTATATTACAAAAACTGTCTTCTGTTGATTAGTTAGCCTTATAAAGCTGTAATTCAGGTACACCAAGTTGGGTTCTACTTATTATTAGAAGCTTAGAGCATTTATGTGAAGTATAATATTACATATATATAGAGAAATATTAATAACTAATGTTATATAAGACTTTGGTACAAACCTATAATAAGACTACTAGGCACAGAAGACTAAGGAACCAAAAAGATGAAATCCTACTTGGAAATTCTTGAGTAAAGAAGTAGCATAAACTTTCAATAATACTGTTAGACTAATGAGAATCTATGAAATATTTTTATAGAAACAGACTAATAAACTGGATGATAAGATATATAAAAGAGCATATAACCAATTAGGCTACTGAAATCACCAAAGGAAAAGGATATTAAGGTATATCATACTAGGCCATTTGGATTGAAAATCTAAGAAGTTTGTTAGTTCTGAGTTGTGATTAGTAGAGAATAATAAAAAAGATATTAAGAAGATAGGTATTGAAGTTTGGATGAACTTTATAAAAGTAATGTAATAGTTTAAGATTAGCACTAACTGCAAGTATTAGGTAACTATAGCATATTATATAAAACTAGGTTAGCTGTATATAGGATACAAAGAAGCAAAAGTAGTATGGGCATAGGGTAGATGTAAATAGACAAAACGCAAGAATGATCAGAACAAAAAATAACATTAGGTTTAGAAGAATGGCAAACATCAACAATAGCTAAGTTAGTAACAATATAGACTGTAATTTTAATAATACCAAGAGAGAAGCAAGTAGAAATATATACAGATAGTAACATAGTAATAAGAAACATTAGTAAAGGTTTAGAACAAGCATGCAGAAATAAAATTCCCAAAAAAAAGAATACAATATAGATAATAAAAATTAGAGAGCTTATTAGAACAAAGAACATTTAAATAGAGTTAGTTAAAGTTAAGAGTTACAGTAAAGATAGATGAAATAATAAAGCTGATAGTTTAGCAAAAAAAGATGCAGTGAGTAAAGAAATCATATAGGTTAAAAAAGTCAGTTGCGAAGAAATAGAGTACTACTTAAAATAAAAAAATAAACATACTGACATACCAGCAAGACTACTATGCAAAATGATAATAAATGCAAGATTAAGAGCAAAATAGAAAGAAATGAAAGCAATCAGAGAATTAGAACCAGAAACAAAAGTTATGATTTACAATTGGACATATTTTTGAAATAGACTAAAGATATCTAAAAGAGTATATTGCATAATAAGAAGAAGCAGTACAAGAAGAAGTACATTTATAAAGTGCATAATAAATAAACTTTCAATACTAGAATAATTGAACAAAAAAAGACCAAAGATATATACAACAATAGAATGCCAAATATGCCAAGATAAAACAAAAGAAATATAGACACATTTGGCAGCATATAAGAAACAAAAGAATCTGTAAAAAAGAATTCAAAAATGACCATTACAACAGCTTAGAAAGAGTTAAAGAAAGAAGAAAAAGTTTGAATCCTCTTATATATACTATATACAGTACTTTTTGAAAAAACAGAAGTAAAGAAAGTTAAAATAAGAGAAGCATTAATCAAAAGTCTTATTCCAAAAGAAACAGATAACAGATTAAGGCAGCTCCTAAGTATAAAATCAGGATAGCAGTTTATGAAGGTAATAGCAAGAACAACCTGAAACATATTCTACAAACAAGTATGAAGAATCTAATATGAGAAGATCAATAAATAGAAAAAAAATGAAGGAATAACAGATAGAATAAAGAGAAAAAAAAAAAAAGAAAAGAAAGCACCAAGGAAAAAAGAAAAATCAAATTAGCAAATAATAGAAGAAAGAAAAAAAAAAGAAAAACAAATTGGAAAGGAATTATAGAAAACAATTTTAAAGCTTGTTATAAAAAGGAAAAGACTCTTTCATTATGGACTTTAAGTAGCCAAACAAGTGACTTACTTTTGCTTGAAGTAATGTAGCAAGTTGTACTTAGATATCATTAGGGTGACTAGGTGATGCTAGGCTTATTTGTTAAGGGTATTTATGTAATTGCAAATGTAATTTAAAATCTTAATAAAGCACTAGCATGACTGCTTAAGAAAAAAAAAAATAATACTTGTAAGACAATTTAATTATAACTAAGAAGTTATATTGATCTTAATAATGTTATATTACTATACAGACCTTATCTTATATTGGTTAATTAATTACAGTTTTGTTTGTTATAAACTTCTATATAAGTATAAACAAAATCCAATTTAATGTTTTTTCTTTATACAAAAAAGTTATATATCAGTTTCAAGATTTTTCTTTATATAATTAGATTATTTGATTACATCAAAAATGCTTTTAATTTTGTTTAAACCAAACTTTTATTATAGACTATTATTATATATATTTATTACTTTTTTTACTATTTCAGTATTGGTTATTTTTAGATTATTTTTCTAATCAAATTCTCTTTTTGAATTCTAATTAAAACTTATTTGTACAATTTGTTGATTATTTTTTCAAGCAAGTAATCTACAAATTAGATATGAAGATGTTAATACTGCTTATATTATAAGATAAGAATATTGATACTGTTTTAGTCTTAAAAACTTATATATATAATCTTTCTATAACTGTAATTTTCTGTAATACTGCTATTATATATAATATTTGCATTTTATGATTGAATTTTCTTTTGGAAATTCCTTTATTCAAATTTATAATTATATTTGAACTTTTCTTACAAGGCTTCATATTTAATTAATAATTCCAATAGGTTACAGAAACAAAATTGCTTTTAGCCTAACTTAAATCATTGACCTTGTTTGTAAAAGGTTTGAAAACTTATCCATTAAGCTATAAAACCCAAACCCTGCTAATACATATTATAATTATAATTCAACATCATTTTTATTATAATAAAATGTTGTTAGATTATAATCATAACATGTACTAGCAGAATGATCTAGTATTGTAAAATAATTTTTTTATGTATTGCACACCAGGTGAAGGATCAGTCGTTGGGGAAATTAGTAAATGCCATAATAATAATCGCATATTTCAACCCAGGTCCCGGACTGGATAGACATTTTAACATCCCAAAAAAAATTTTTTCGTGTGACCGATCTACAAATGATGGGACATTCACTCATGCTTTTTTTTTATCACTTAGTTAACCAACTATAACAAACTGAAAAAATACGATGGCATACGGTAAATATTAGCTTTACTGCTATAACGCGAAGTTATGAACTGTTTTCCTTGTTCCTTATACGTAACTTACTATCACTTGTTTGAATAGATTCTAATCGAGGTTTTGGACGTGGAGGGCGCGGTGGGGGTAGAGGTGGTGGAGATCGTGGAGGGCGTGGTGGACGAGGGGGGTTTTCATGTATGAAACGAGTATTTCTTTATATTGTAACCAATTAATATTGCTTAATTAGTTTAACTATAACAATTTAATGAATGGCATTCCATCTTATTTTTATTTTGATCCTTAAAATATCTTCCACTAGCTCGCGGTGGTGGTAAGAATATTTAATAATCACAATGCCAAATCGTCAATGAAACTTTGATTATATCTTTCGTTAGGTATCCAAAGACGCGGTTTTGCTGCTGGCGGTCGTGGAACTCGTGGGGGTCGAGGAGATCGCGGAGATCGCGGACGTGGACGAAGCAGTGGAAGAGGGGGTCGTGGTGGCAGGGCTGGAGTTAAAGGAGGATCTAAAGTTATAATTGAACCACACAGACACCCTGGTATATTTATTGTGGCAAACATTTTTATTTGGTCAATGCGGTGGCATAATTATAAAATTGGAATATTTTGACATTTTTGTTATTAGGCGTTTTTGTTGCTCGTGGTAAAGAAGATCTTCTTGTCACAAAAAATCTTGTAAGTGGTGAATCCGTATATGGCGAAAAAAGAATTTCCGTTGAAGGACCAGATGGTATTAAAACCGAATATCGTGTTTGGAACCCATTTCGATCTAAATTGGCAGCTGGAATTCTTGGTGGTGTTGATGATATATATATTGCACCTGGGAAAAAAGTATTATATCTTGGGGCCGCTTCAGGAACTACGGTATCACACGTTGCAGATATAGTCGGACCAGTAAGTGTAATTCTTTTTATTATGTGTAATGTTTTAGTGAAGCCCACAATTAAATTAATATCGACCATCTTCAAAGGAAGGAATAGTCTATGCCGTTGAGTTTTCTCATCGATCTGGACGTGACCTCATCAATGTCGCCAAGAAACGTACTAACGTAATTCCAATTATTGAAGATGCACGTCATCCGCAAAAGTACCGTATGTTGATGAACATGGTTGACGTTATCTTTGCGGATGTGGCACAACCAGATCAAGCGCGCATTATTGCTCTAAACGCACATCATTTCCTTAAAAATAACGGAAATATTGTTATATCAATCAAAGCAAATTGCATTGATTCAACTGTTGAAGCTGCCACAGTATTTGCCAGGGAAGTGAAAAAACTACAGGAAGAGCGTATAAAACCTCAGGAACAACTTACTTTAGAGCCGTATGAAAGAGATCATGCCTTAGTAATAGGAAGATATATAAGGTCACAATAAGAACTTTTAAATAATCTCTTAAAAATGCATTATTTTTCTTGTATTGTGCACGGATTAATGTTCCAAAATAATAGCAAAAAGAAAAAAAATTGAGACTGAACATACTGTTTTTATGTACTACTTTTGATTAAAGTTTTATACCAATTTAAAATAAGTTTCTTTGATTAGTATTATGATATAACTAGATTTAATTAGCATACATGGCGCAACTGTGGAGTATATTGCCTATACTACGAATCAGATTTAGATGTAACGTAACACAACCAGTGATGTAAATTGGATCGACGCGCATATATCAACACTCCGTATACCGTACATCACTGACTAATGTACCCCGGGTACTAATTACAGGGGAGGATACTATAATAGGGGGTACTTTACATAGTTTAATAGTAGTTCAATAAGGATTCAATATAAATATTATATATATCTGACTAGAATAATACCCGGGTCTTATTCAATCTTCCGGATCTCGAATCTATGAATTGTACCCGGATATTTTCACGGGGTATTATAAGCAGGGAGTACTTTAGTCAGTGGCGTACGGTATATGTTTTGGGTGGGGAATTTTTATATAAAACCCGCATTTTTTGGGGTTGATTTTGTCATATATACACCCTAACCCCAATTTAAATAGGAAATTCCAAATCCCATTCCCACTTACGTCATATATAAACGCGTATAAAAACTTTTTTGAGCATATTTTTTTTTGTATTTGTGCTAATAAATTTTGTTTGAATTTATAACACTGAAAACGATTAGAAAATTTCAAAACAAACGTTTAGCATTAGAGTATCTAATTTTTAGAGAGAAAAACATCAGAAAGTTATTAGAATATAATATTACTAGGTATTGTGTGTTCGAAGCCTAACACATGATGATTAGCATGCTACACAAACGCGAAATAAGCATGAAAGTGTTATATTAATAGACAAATCTGCGAACACACAAAAAATTTCCACATTGCGTTTCTGATGTAAATTTTACAATTTTTATATTGGTGCATTAAAAAGGTTTTTTTTTGAGCCAAATACATCAAAAATGTAACTTTTGTATTATATACTGAATAATTTAGTATTTTCTGTTTTTTTTTTTTTTAAGATGACCTCTTTGATCTTTTGATTTTCATTAATGATTTTTTTGGTAATGTGATTTTGTGAACCATTAGAAGAAGAGTGTATAATTGGTTATATATGTAACTTTTTTATATTACTTATTTAAGAAGTTTTTTTTTTTTCAAATATTAACAGTAAGGTCATGCTTTTAATTTTATTGAAATTCAATTGAAGTTTTTACAAAGAAAAGCTTGCTTTTAAATTACATATGAAGAATAAAGACTCAGATATATAATCTGTGATCTAAACTTACAAGAGTGGTCAAGGCTCATTTAAATTTGGGTTTGAATAATAATATAAGAGAAAGAGGTATGGTATTTAATCTATTAAATAGTCCAAAGATCAATTTTAGTAATAATTTGTGATATTGAAATAGAAGATAAAGTTAAACTAGAAGAATGACTATAAGTTAAGTTAATAGAAAGTGTAGTTTGGAACTATGTAGAGTATGAAATACAGTATGAAATCTATATTTGTTTAAGTAAAGAAGAAGTTTGATAGAAAGAGTAGTAGTAGTACAATAAGAAATAAAAGCATTGTGAATAGTAGAGATAAGATTGATAAAAACTAAACCAGATAGGATAGAAATAAGAGAAGATGTATTTGGAAAGTTATGCAGTTTGAAACTGTCAAGGGTGAGAATTTCAGTATGTAAATCAGAGACAAAATTAATAAACATATTGAGATTAGTAGTATTTAAAATATTATTAAGAAAATTAAAGATTAAGTAATAGATAGTTTGAGTTGATGGGCAGGTAACCCAATAAAGTAAAGAGCTGGTTTGATTGCATTGATAACAGGAGAAAGAAAATAAAGAATTATGTTTATAAAGAGTATAAGAAACAGATAGTTTATCTGTAAGAATTTTAACTTGAAAAGTTTTCAGAATAGATGAATAAAAGTTGTGAGCAAAATTAGAGATTTTTTGATTATTATTGATATAAAGTCATGTAGATTCCTAGTTGATATCAAATGCAATAGTAGACCATTGTTAAAAACAATATTAAGATGTTTAAAGTATTATAATATAGACTTGACATATAGTTCAAATAAAGTATCAGATAGGAATTTCAATAGAAAATTCATCAATAAAAAGAATATAATTGAGATTATAAGAATTATTAGTTAAGAATATTAGATAGGGTAATATTTGATGATTACAGGTGAGTTGGTCATCAAGATTATTAAATAGATTATCTTGGTATGCAGTAACTTTATAAAAAATAAGTTGAATTTCATAAGACTTAATAAAGTTGATAAGTATTTACCAGATGGAAAAATATAAAGTATAAGTATAAGAAAGATTAGATGTTAATTGGCAAATATTATGATATTTGGAGATTACTAATTGTGAGTTAGTAAATATGTAAACAGAGCAATGTTTAGGAGCAATAATAATTGCTAAGAGAATAGTAAGAATTTCAGCTTTAAAAGAGCATATTCACAGTTTAATTTGTGTCTGAAATGAGTTAATAGTTGTAGAATTATTAACTTAAACCCAATCTATACCCATAGAGTATTGTGAAGTACCAAGATCAATAACAGAACCATCAGTATAAAATGAGATAGATGATAAATTATAGTTGGAATTAGCAATAGTCTGAAGGTTATTAACAAGTTGGCATGTTTCAAAGATAGAAAGTAGTTGTTATAAATTAATTGTAAGTGAAGAAAAAGGTGGAATATATTCCTTAGATTATAATACAGATAAATTTGCCTATGTTAATTTTTTTAAAATTAATTTATATAATAAAATTTTAATAATTAATTTTAGCAATATACTTTCTAAGTAAAAAATATTTTTAAAAACCTACTTTATAAA